GCTGCCGTTCCGACTCTAACGAGAAACGAAGGGGCCGAATGATGGGAAACCCGTAACAAGACGTTGTGTTTCGGCAGTGCGGAGAGCGAGCTTGCATGGGATTATAATTTCGCGATCTGATTATAACCTGATCGCTCTCGTGTTAACAGGAGCACGGGCGTTAGTTTATATCCGTTGCTGCAGCTGCCGCCCCGAAACAAAAGCCTTTTTTACGATCCGGCCTGACGACTTACTGATACACGCATAATCTTGGCTCTTCGCATTTAAAAAAAAAAAACCAAATTATTTTCTCGGACCCAATCTTGCCGTCGCAGAGATGCTCGCTCGAAACGAAGATTCGCGAACGCCCTGATTGGAAGAAGGCATAAAGAAATGGTTGTGCGGACATAGGAGGGTGATGGGAAAGAGATGTGTCTGCAGTGCGAAGGCATCGTTCGGAAACGCGATCATTTCCTCTGCCTCTTCAATTTCTTGTAGCCGTCGGAATTCGAATGAGATCGCTAATTATCATTTCCAAGATACGAAACACGAAAAATCCTTATTAGAGCCAGACTTGATGTGTATCGATGCTTGTTTCGGGCGCGATTTCGTGACTCGAGTTCCGTGTGCTCGAGTGCTCGTCAAGATAAGCAAGGCAGCAGACGACGGAGCTTTCGAAAGCCGATGGTGGATGGAGAGCGATCAGGACGAGAGACGGTCGGTGCGCGGATTGGAGCATAACAATGTCTTTTCGAGCAAAGCTCTCTTGCGTGGGATCGTGCAAGGTTTATTTATATCTATATACTTTAATAGCGCCTGTATTACTGGTATACGCAGAGAAGAAAGAAAAAAAAACGTCAACAGAAAGGATAGGAAGAAGACTGAAGTTCACATTTATCAATGGCGAGGCAGCGAGTTGTGGAAAAAAATGGGAATGTTTCCGGTGTATTTCCGCATTTCCGCCGTGCGGCGCACAGAAAAACCCCGGCAGTGTTTCGCAATATTTGTCCAGAATCCTGTGGTAAACCCTCAGAGTTGACCATATTTTATAGAAATATTTAGCTCGTGAGGAAAGGAATCGACATATTTACCAGCCCTTCCTCTACCCCCCCCCCCCCCAAAAAAAAGGAGACATAAAAAATGACACAACTCGGGTGCTTTTCTTATGTCGTCGTTATTGGTTTATTTATTTATTGCGTTGTGCAAAGACGTCGATTCCAAATCGCCGACCAGCCCGAACAACCAGTATATCAGGAAAAATAAGTTGTGTAATGTATGGTGTCTTTGTATCGCCGCCGAGTTCTACCCTTGCGCTTTCTCGTGAGGCACTGTTTATGTACCAATAAGCATGTGCATTTGTGTTCACATATAGGGCGCAAACCCTAGATGCTCGTGATTGAACATAGTCGTGCAAATTGAACATAGTAGTTTGCGTCCCCCGTTGGGGGGGCGCCTCGCGTCCCGCGGCGTCGCGGAGACGAGTGGTGCGAAAGAAGTCGTCGCGAGATGACGTCACCGTAGCGACGTTGCAATCACGTCATAGATCGCCGAATTTCATGACGTCATTACGATGTCACAGGGACAGGTGAACTATTAGGCCGCTGTCGTCACCTACGTGCAACAGGCCGCAGGCCTTGCTGGCCGGCCAGCCGACGTCCTGTGGACCTCACCACCGCCTGTTACCTGACTTCATATACACGAAGCTAATTTGCATCTGTAATCTTGAACAAAAAAATAATATGCCTTGGGGCAGATTTCCAAAGTTAAAAAAGGGAGTAATAGTAACTTCTGCGCAGCCTCCCTTAATCACCAATCATGCATCGCCATTTTTTTAAACATAACACCATAGAGTTAGTACGTACTCTATAAGAAAAGCCAGGTCGAAGGAGCGCCTAGCACAAAAACGCTGCCATTACCCTACTATTCTCGCTGTTGCTTTTGCCATTCTTTAGACATCGGCTAAACTTAGCGTCATGTAATATTGGTAACACTGGTAACATAAGTCGTACATAGAAATTCTAACTGCTTAGAAACGCGCGGCAGTGTTCAATGTTCATTTGGAAGATTTCTAGGAAACAGTCACGGTTGTATTTAGGCTATACTTACTGTGCGCTGGACTCGCGGCCCTGAAAGACGAGTTCGCTTTTTCAAGATGGTGCCATCAAATTCAGTTGAGTTTGATATCGCGGCCGTTTGCAGCACGTCTGCTGACCTATACTTGCGAGCAGAAGCAGCAGCAGCAGGTACTCATGCACGGAACGCATTTATTACGTGGGATTCAGCCCTAACGGAAAGCGTCACACAGAGACACGTGACAGTTGCTATAGTCCACGCACGTCTTGCGTATGCCGATTTCGGGCGCTATTTCCGCTTGAGGTGTGCGCGGGAAGTTTTGAGCTGGTTGCCGTTCTTCGCGCGACTTTGCAATTTGTTGCTGTAGCATTCCATCCTTCGCCGTTGTGGCGAAACAATGCGCAAAAAAAAAAAAACGCTCAACTGCCTCAATGCAACTCTCTTTCATGTTGTACCGATTCCTAAAAAGAAGGATCAACCACATTTTTTTTTTCTGTTAAAAATCTCGTTTTTCTCCATTGCCGCTGCCGTGGTCTGAAAGACTGAAACCGCAACCGCCAGCCATAAACGGCCAGACTTCGCTACCTCGTTCATATGCATGGGGCCTTCGGCCATCGGCGACTATAAAAAAGAAGCCCCCTCCTAGCTTCCCACATCAGGGGGGGGGGGGGGGGGAGATCACTCTTCGAACACCTGACACACCCTGTTCGACGGAAATCGCTAAAGAAACCACCGGCTTATTCACTTTGGCGCTCTGATACACAGTTGTTTCGGGAGCCCTTTGTCCGTTCTTGCTTTAAGACACTTCAAAATTTGAAGGGTGTCATACGAAGACGACGAGATAGACATCTTGAGGAAGTGAGACAGTGAGGAAGTGGCTCGTTGCTGACGGCTGTGGCTCGCTTTGACAGATCTACGGCACTGTGGTGGTGGCGGCTCAATGAAGAAGGGTGGATCATTTTGAATATATAAGAAAACGAAGGCCGCATCTGGGGCATAGGTATCGTCATCATGGAGATTAAGGTGTTCCATTGAAAGGAAGAAGACGGGGCAGCCGTGGCGTCGGTCTCATTTCATTTACACGTCAAAGAACCTTCTTGTTATGAGCGTGAAATCGTAGTGCACGTTGGGCGCAGTTACCTGCCGAGAAGTCGACACGACAGCTATAATTTATGTAATGCTGTCTAGCCTGGTGTACTCCTCTCGGAAGCAGCTAGAGTGCGTTTTGTTTAATTGCATTGTGCAATAAGCCAAGTTTGCAAGAGATATGATGCTTTTAATCAACAGCGCCAGCTCGTATGCAATTAATTTTAACTTAAACATAAATGTCTGCCATTTTTTCCCACTTTCTAGGGGTAATATATTTTGTACCCATTCTTTCAAAAGCGACAAACACAAAAAGACTGCGTAGTAAGTACTGCGTGTACTAGACAGCTAGATTTTATTCTTATTATAATTTATATTGTCCTGCAATTATTTCGCAAACGTGTTGATGGCGTAATTTACCGGAAGTATACACAGCACCAGAGAAAGCCATAAGACTGAAATAAATTCCCAAAACACACTAAAAATATCTTGTGTGCGGCAGGTATCTTCACAATAACGGAAGATCGGACCACGCCTGGTTTATGGTCAAGGCATAATTGGCTAAAACGGGCCGGGCCAGGCTGGGCCCAAACCGTTGGGGCTCGGGCAGGGCGCGGGCCATATTTAAAAACACCGGGCCGGGCGGGCCGGAGCATGGTGTTTTCGAACTGTCCCCCTCCCCCCAAGAGTGCAAGAAAATCGCACAGCTTCCTGGGTCTACGACATCCTCCATGACCCCATACATTTTAAGAATGCCTCGTTAATTACTTTAATTTAGCCGTTGTTGAAATTGGTCTGATGTACTCTCATGAGCTGCCTTACATTTACTGTGTGTATTAACGTACTTATTTGCTTATGAGGTTATATATTACTGCGGTTATGTGCTAATGAGTTAGGTTGTGTTCTGGGAAAATGTGAACCCTTGTGAAGTTGTATGTTATTATTCTATGCCCATTAATGTACTGATACGTGCATGCACAACTGATGACTTCATGTTTAATTTTGTTTTTACACATCAAATTCCAGATTTCAAATTAACGCAATAAATAAAAGTTTGCATTGCCAAAGTGTTTACGACCTTTTTGCAATGCGATTAAATTATATTCGGTTTTCGATCAAATGGGAGATAATGATTGAGGCGCAAGCAAGTGTTAGTTGAAAAACAAAAACAAGCTTTATTGCAGTCTCAACTTCCTGTAGACACGCGCCATTCACACCAAGCACGGGACACAACCGCACATCACAGTATTGTAGTGCTTTCTTTTCTGTTCAAATAAGTGAGCACTCCTTCACATGTGGCACTTCGATGTCACGCTCGTTACCCTTTTCTTACGCTGTCCGTGACCTCGTCTCCCTAAGCCAAAGACAGAAGACAAGCTAGTGATAAGCCATCAGCCGATAAATGCAATGATCTAAGTCCGTCTAAGGACCCCCTCCCCCTCCCGGCTTACAAACTGTTCACCACGAAGTCGCTGTTTTGCACATACGACACATTTTTGAGGTCACGCCCTGTCTAGATGGCTGTTCGAGTCCAAGTGACTCACTTCACTTGCTAACAAAAGTGATGCGACCAAGTACCCGTCTTCTCCACACCCTTACCCCGTGAAGTAAGGTGCGGGTAACGTCAAAGTGAATCCGGTGGTTGTCTTCAGAGCCCACCCTCAGCTGACACGTCCCGAAACGCCAACTCATGCATCACACCGTCGACGAGGGACCAGCCAAGGACCGGAGCATCTGGACGACTCGAGACTTCTCCTTCCAGTGAGCCAGCGACTGCGCGGGTATCAGCGAGATCAAAACGAAGAGGCAGCAGAGGGTGAACACGCCGCACAGGTACTGAGTGTCGAACTCCCTCTTCACGATCAACAACACGGCCCCGACCAGGCGTACCCGCGCTGCGGGCAGTAGGTCTCGTTCAGGGGCGACAGCGGGACGCAGTCCCGAAGCTTGCGCAGCGCGACGCCCCACAAACCGAGGGCGAAGTGGAAGGCCAGCATGGCCATGACGATGACCAGCACCGAGTCCGGGTAAAGGGGCATGGCAGCCGCCACGAAAAACATGCCGATAGCCGCCAAGAGGCACGCCAGGGTCAGGGTGTAGCGTGGCGTCGCCCCGACCACGCGGGTCACCCGGAAGAAGCAGCCGCCGAAGACGTGGAAGAGGCAGTACAGGGCGTACAGCAGGCCGACGTTCATCTTAGAAGGGTTGACCAGGGGCGTCCAATAGGCCTCGACGACGGTGCTGCAGCACCACAGGCCCGCCTCGGAGGAAAGCACGGCAAGAGTGACGACGCGGTCGGACCGGTACGGTTCCAGGAACTCCCTGATGGACTGCGGCGGCGGAGCGAGCCAGTGGAAGAGAAACAGGGCGCCCAGGACGAACGCGGCGATGTAGAATATGATGAAGCAGTCGAAGTAGATGACGTCGCACAGCAGGCTGCCAGTCACACCCGAGACGATGCCGATGAAGCCGTTGCCTATCATGGTGGCCGTCTCGGACGGCTTGGTGCGGGCGCTGAACTGGCCCACGGCCAGCGGGAACAGTGTGAGCACGCAGATCTTCGTGAGGGTGGTGACGGGAAGAGAAGGGAAAGTTGAAAAGGCGGTTTTAGATTGTTATTGTTCGAACACGGGGATATATCTTAAAAGCGAAGGTCAACAAAGCCTTCTGCGGATGGAATTCCTTATTTAAATGTCAAGGTACCACACGTCCTAGACCGCCTTTCTGATGCAGAGGCCATATAGATGTGCCCTGTACACCGGGAAATTGGAAGCCGAATTTACTGTGCATTGATGGAGCTACACATTATAGGTGTATTTGTTGTGATCGAAATTCGGAAGATTATATTTTGGGAACTGGGATTTTGGGAGTATGCTACCCGAAGAGGAGAGGAGTTATGGTAGGGGTCAGTATTCGGATAGTCATTCTGTGCCTATCGTATATGCTTGTGCAACGTGTTTGTCGCACTATGACCTACCACCCAATTTTCGGGGGGCAAGGTGAATGCAGCAGCCGCACGCTTCGTTCGAACCGATGTTCCCCGCTTAAAACCATGTGGTGTGTCCCGTGACCTACGACACTAAAGAGCTTACAACGACGTTATCATGTATTGGGCTCGCGCCCCCTAGCTTCCATATTTCTTACGCAGAGCTCCTTCAAAGCCATTTCCTTCTTTTGAGTGATAAACCTCCCCTTGCCTTATCCTACCTGGCACTGGTAATCTGCGCAATTAATGTTTTGCATAATGCATTTCATAAGCCCAATACACCATACAGTGCCCTTTTTGGGTGGCACAATTCCTGAATAATGTCTTGTAACTTGACCCCAGCTGTCACTAGTTTTGTTCCTACACCTATTCAGCTGTATTTGCCATTGTTCCTGATGTTAACCTATCTTGTTGGTACATTAGTTGCCTTGGCTTCCGATATCAATCTGTATTGATCTTACTTTTGTATCTGAACTCTCTTACACAATGCCTCTGTGAGGCCTGTAAGGTATTCGTAAATGAATGTATGAATAAACAAACAAACAAACAAATAAATAAATAAATAAATAAATAAATAAATAAATAAATAAATAAATAAATAAATAAATAAATAATAAATAAATAAAGGTCGCTCACCTTAGCCAGAATCTTTGAGATCATCAGCGTTAGCAGGTCATCGGTGTTCTTCATCAGGCAGGACTGCATGAGCAGCGCCAGCAGAAGCGCCGCAGACAGCTTCCAGCCCACGCGCTTGGCGAACGAACGTCCCCAGAGATCGGCGAAGCAGCCTCCGAGAGCCCCGATGGCGTAGATTTGCGCGATCGCCTTCTGCTCGAGATTGTTGTAGTAGTACAGCTTGTACTCGTACGGGTTCTGCATATGGTCCGCGAAAACCAGCACGAAGTAGAAGACCACGGCGTGCCACTGGGACAGGACGGACGGCTGCTGCTGCTGCTGCCGCCACCGCTGCCTGGGCACCACGGCGAACCTCGAGGAAATCGTCGTCGCCATGTCTCGAGGTGGCTTCGCTTCCGGTAAGGCTTGCGGCTCGCAATGGCCCTGTTCCCGACTTAGATGCTGTGGCTCCGCCTACAGGAGACGGTCGTCCAAAGAGTTTCCTATAAGAACACTAGAGTGAACTCTGGCGCTGGTGTCAACGGGAGCGGCAACGCATGGTACTTCAGCCAGCATGGGGAAGATGGGTCGCACACGGATTTGTCTAAACTTCGTTTTCCCGGCTGCGTGTATAGCTTGCATTCACTCTGTCGCAAGGCAGAGTTCAGCTAATTTTCATCCGTTCGACTGCACTATGCTTTAAGCTGAAAAGGTTGAGGTGATGAAGTGGAATCGCTGAAATTCAAATCGGCTCACGAAGTTCAGAATGATACCGTCACGTGGTCGTTGTACGACGGCAGCGGGGGGCGTATCCAAGATAAAACTCTTTGGCTGAACTTTGTTTGCCGTGAAACGGAAAGCCCATTTAGTGCAATACACACTTCATACACGCATACCGCCTAAGAGAGCGTCGGCCGTCGATAAACTGACAAGCGGTCGAGTGCATCGGCTTTTGTATATGTATCATCAAAGATTCCGGCGTTATCGCTAGCGACCGTTTAAGTTTCAGAATTAAGTCTAATGTTCGAGTTGCGCACGAAGGTGCTAAGATTATCTAGATATTTTCTCATCGATCGGGTTGCGCCTTGCGCGAGGCACCAGTCACATCGTAATGTGGCGGTAACATGAAAAGAGAAAGAAAAAAGCACGTGCAGCAATACATTCTTTAAACCGAAATAAACGCCAAAACACAACAATAAGTGAAGCCACACGCACGTTCGAAGCCACAAGCACAAATATTAGGCAAATCCGTGTGGTTCAAACCATTCCCATGGGGGCTGAACGGTCGCAACGCGTGGTTTCCTGCAATAAATATAGAAATGAACTCTATGAAATAGGCAACTGTCCCGCGCTCCGTCAAAAAGCTGGTTCAAAGCGCCGTCACAATCACCGATATGCCACACGTGAAAGCGCTGCGAACAGTGGACGTGCCACAAATTTTAAGAAACAGTTCCCTCTCCACTCCGGGCTTTTTCAGGAAGTCTCTGCAGTTGCGTGTATCACGTCAACATGTTAACTCTGTAATGATGTCGACAAGTGATACTGCGATTGGTGAAAGAAGAACCCTACCACTATCGGTTACAGTCTGCAAGCAGCTGCCCACGCCTCTTCCGGCTCTGCACCTCGGTGGGTCAGTCGCTAGGGTGCTCGGCTGCTGACCCTAAGGTCGCGGGTTCGATTCCGGCCGTGGCGGTCGCATTTCGATGGAGGCTAAACGGTACAGAGGCCTGTGTACATTGCGGAGTCACTGCACTTTAAAGAGCATCAGACGGTCAAAACTTTCGGAGTCCTCCACTACGGCGTCTCTCAATCGTATCGTGTTTCTGGGAGGTATAGAACTTCGCATATTAATAGTATTGCTGTTTTTCGTGTTGCCCATTTGTGCGCGCTTACGGAATCAGCTGCTGCAGCCCGTAACGCAAATGCCAAATCGATAGCGTACGAACATAGTCACAGCGGTCCGACAAGGGGCACAAACTGAATCAGACAGTCCACCGTATTCACAAACGCTCCTCGACTCGACTTTCACCCTTCACTTGACAGAGTTGAACACTGCGCCACAGCTCGGATCAAAATGACGCTGCGCTGCTTGAGAATCGCAGCAGATTATCGCTGATATGTAGTGACTTGCCGTGCCTAGAGACTGCGCTCCCATCGGCTTTCTCAAGTGAAGGTGAAGCGTTGAGTGAAAAGCGCCGACTGGAAACCAAAGAAGACGCGACACGTATTGCCTCGTCATTTCGCCTTCCGAAGAAATGCCTGGCTTGTACGCATAGGAGCTACGTTACAACGAAGACGCAATCATAGGCGTATCAGCCGGGGAGGGAAAGCAAGGAGAGTGCTAGCCCCTTTTCTCCTTTATAAAAGTTTGGTAAGGGGGGGGAGGGGCTGAGCCAGCACGTGTCGTATAAAACCATAAAGGTATACATTTCCGCACCAATGGGCCTTCCTGCCACTATAGGGTATCTCTCATAACATATCGTGTTTTGGTGGCGTGGAATCCAAACAACTGTTATTATTGACAGTTTAGATACAGAAGTTTTAAAAGCGCTGCGTTCTAATCTCTGTACATGAACCAGCATAAAGTCTACGTATCAAGACCACCAATTTACGTAGTACTATCAGCGTCAAATGAAACCTAAACAGCGGCAAGCCTTCGTGTTGGTGAACTGCACGCCGTCCACTTATCACTACGAACGGGTACGCATATATGCGCAAAGCTGCTCAACAGGATGCACGCACCTGTCAATGGTAATAACTGGACGGCACGCACTACACTATTGCAAAGGCTTGCCGCTGTTCGGGTTTCATTTGACGCTGATGGTACATAACACTGATTTGCTGCATCTTTTAAGACGGCAGTTCAGGTACAAAGAGCGAGCGGTAGGCTTCCTTTAGACGACATGACATGGAAGCGGTAGTCTTCATTACTTTCAATCGCCATCGAAACGGAGAGGAAGGAAGCCACACGATGCACTTACCCGGTGAGCTCCAATGGTGGTGTCGTTGTTCTTGTTCGCCTTCTACTGTGGATCTCACCCACTGCGTGCGTTGCCCCAGCGTCCACTTTGTCTTTCTCCTCAAACGCAACGAAATGGTGATGATGATAATGTTCCTTGGATGATTGGCATATACGCAATGAGGGGGATCGGCCAGGGCCGTTCCTGTAGCTGCTTGATTGGCACGCATCGAGCGAAGCGTCAATGCTTACTACGGGTACCGAGGCAGCTTACCAAAGACTATTTGATGGAACTTACAAAAGAAAAACAAACAGCCGCCCGCATTTTCCCACGCAGGGAACTCGAGTAACTGCGTCGCATGGTGGTGGTAGTATCGCGCGAATGTTGCGTAGTATATGGTTATGTGTTGGGAATGCTTCTTTGTTATTTCGTCTTTATTGTTCTTATTTATTGAATGAAGGAAAAGCGTTACCTCAAACGTCAAGCGAAAGCCTACTAAAGACGCCCTTGCCTGAATTCCGAACGCGCGAATAAATGCCTGCGGTGGCCTGTAAACAGTAGTGCAGCGTGAGCAGTCGCTTTATCATGTTTTTTTTTTTTTACTTGCAAACGCTGCCTGCGTCGGCCTTGCGAGGCGAGAGAGGGGAGTGACAGTTCTGCGGGTGTCTTCCTGGGCTGGCACGAGACTCGAGCATACGCAGCATACTGCACGAGGTGCGAGCATGCGCAGTGGACGTGTAGATGGTGCCTCCGCCGCCGAAGCGCGGGAACGTGCGACTAAGAAATGCTCCAGATTTAATACATGGTTTATTCCTCCGTCATGGAAATTGGAGCGGCACTTGTTCTTGCAGAAGTAGTTGATTGTTTACAGTACGTAGATATAGGAGGCCTTGCACAATGTATTTTAATGTTTGCACAGCTACAGCACGGTTGAACGTGAACGTACCCACGTTGGTGCTTAGTGAAACGTGTCCATTTCGACGACTGACGTCCATGATCAATGGTCTAGTGGCTAAGGTACTCGGCTGCTGACCCGCAGGTCGCGGGATCAAACCTCTGCTGTGGCGGCTGCGTTTCCGATGGAGGCGAAAATGTTGTAGACCCGTGTACTCAGATTTGGGTGCACTGAACCCCAGGTGGTCGAAATTTGCAGAGCCCTCCACTATACGGTGTCTCTCATAATCATATGGTGGTTTTGGGACGTTAAACCCCACAAATCAATCAATCAATTAATCAATCAATCGTCCATGATCAATGATTAGGCAAACCCTTGTGGTCATAGATGCTCGTGGTAGCTGTGGTAGTTAACCGTGAGAGCGGAATCGGAGAAAGTGGTGTGACAGCCAGGATAGCCGTCAATGAATGAAGGCCGAACTTGGGCTAAGGTCGCGTACTCGCGGCATATTTAGTTGCGCGTCTGCAGCAGCCGTACGGACGCGGCATGTCATTGAAAATGCCTAGCAGGCTGCGGCCGTACGGCTGTTACGGACACGCAACTAAATCTATTTGTTGAACACTAAGGTCCTTCCACTGCCCGGCTAGAGATAAACACAACGTGCATCGTGTCTACGCTGTTGGCCTGCCGCGATTTTTCGTCAAGGTGGCCCAGAGGGGCGGTCGTGTGCGGAGGACGCGGATTTAACAGAGGGGTGACGCAGAACTATTTTAGGGGTGAAACTCCCTAGGCTGTGGGTAGTTACCTCCTCTGTAGTAGTAGTAGTTGCAGTAGTGTGTAGCCATTTCTAGTTTATAAGTTGGTCTCTGGATGGCGTTGTGTATATGTCCTAGGAAATAATATAACTGTATGGCGCTAGTGTTTTTTACAGCATATACAAGGAGTGAATGATGATGAATGGGGCGAAGCGTTCGTCCGTCCGTGCTTAGACCATCTGTCTGCCCGTCCGTGCTTCCGTCTGTCCATCCACGAGTCCGTCCGTGCATTTGTCCGTCTGTCTGTCCGTAATTCGGTCCATTCGTTGTGCGTCCGGATGGTGGACGCTTTGCCGCAATCATCATCATTCACTCCATGGATATGCTGTGAATTTTTTTTTGCTATGGTTGGATGCTATGAGTGAGACCTACGCTAAGGTTAATGTCGCCACCTGGCATTGTATTAATGCATCGAAAAATTTTCACTTCTCTAATTAGAAAATTCAGGAAGTTGGACACCGAATGCTGGCTCAGCGTTGTTACGTTTGGCCCGGCACTTCGTCTGGCCAGACGCCATTGTGTGTAAGCCGGTCTGCTGAAATGCTTTCAACCTCATCGGCGCCCAGTCAGCAAGACACCGTCCTGTAGGGGTTCCAGGTAGTTTTCTGTGGTCGGGTCTCAACGAAAGCTTCGCGAGACAACCCATTTGTAGAACGGCCTCGAACAGCGTGGGACGGCGCCACTGTGGCTGTTCTCGCGAAGTCAACATTTTGACTCGGCTATTGT